AATCAGTTAAGCTGATTTTTATTCATTTATTTATTTTTTTTTTTGTTGGCGTTGGGGAATTCTGACAGTACCACTTTACGGTAATGTAAACCTTTCTTTTGTTACTCCTTTCTTTGCCATTTTTCCATTTGTTGTTTGAATCGCGATATTGCCGCTTTTTATCTCAATACTTTCTGATGAATAGATGTTTGGAAGAAAGAAACTGCTTCAAGCAAAACTTGAACTCGCTCCCCGCATCGCGGGAGCTTGCCATGTCATGTAGCCACGCCTATACTATTTTAGTCAGGAGCTTACTTAGTTACTGCATTTGTCTCAGATTTTATTCCACGCTGGATTGTTGATTCTAACTACTAGCTGTAATAGCAGTAGTGCTTTCATTACGCTTTGAGATGTTTAGCATTAGCCGTTTCATTATTACAGATATTCATCTTGGACGAGTTTCTTTATTTTATCGTTGCTTTTCATCACCGCGCCTTTCATTATACGGCTGAAGAATACATCGGCTGAAAACGCAACAAAAAAGATGAAGAAACTAGTAAAAAAAAATAGGTGGAATAATGAACAAAAAACAAAAAAACAAACCCCCCCCCCAAAAAAAACAATCCTCCTCAGTAACTCGATTCGTTTTTTTTAGCATACGTTCGTTTGACCATTTTTACCAAATAGTATCGTCTCCCTCCTACGGAATCGTCAAAATCTATTTACTTTAACTTACTGACCAGTTCTCTTCCCGCTCTTTTTGTTTCTCGCTCTTATATTTTCCCGCCTCTTTTTTTTTCCTCGCTTTCACCACAACAGACGCCATCTTTTTGCAGTCATAATATGACACATCTATTTCGTCTAAGTGCATCCTGCATTCGCACCGCTGTCGTTTTGTGTCCGTAATCTATATAGTCAATAGTCTTCATAAGTTCCTTAAATAACAAGACAATATGCCAATTATATTTTGCAGAGCATTCGACATAGCCGCACTTCCATTGCTTTTTAACCATATTTGCCACCTCTCTACGTGGCATGCCGCGTTCATTTGCTTGATCATGTTTGTTTCCGACCACAAAAATCGGCACGTCGTGCATATCTCGGCTTTCCAGGATCTGTTCGCGGAGGGATTTGATATACTGGAAACTTTCCTCCGAGGTGATGTCGTAGACTAGAATATAAGCTGTAGCACTACGGAGTTCGTAGCCCCGGAAGTCCGCCCACTCGTACAGAGAGTTGACGGGGAAATATGGAATGTATGGGGAATCGATTATTTTCAATTCGTATAAGTGATCGTTGATAATTACGGACGGAATGTAAATTTGTTTGTTTTCGGTTGGCTCGTAATCCTCTGTGAAGTGGCTGCAGACGAACTGCTGGATAATTGAGGTCTTACCCACGCCGGGGGCCCCCAGAATAGCCAGTTTTACTTTTTGTACTTCCGAATCCACTGTTAAGTGGCTAGACGCCATTTTTTTTAAAAGGTGGGGTTCTTTTTCTTTTCTTTTTCAAATTAATCGATTTTTGATCTTAAATCACACAGATATGTATATCTCTCTCTCCTCTCTCTCTCTCTCTCTCTATCTATATATATATATATATATATATTATAGTGTGCAGCTTATATATTATACCATAAAGAAGTAATTTATACAAAGAATTAACAATGCTAACAAGACTTAATGAGGCATTAACTTACTAACAATTCCTTGAATAATACGATCCTTATATTTCAGTTGTTGTCAGATGGAATTAACAAGTACTTTCAACAATTTCAAATTGTCATCTTCTTTATGGTACTTCTTTATAATATATATATATATATATATATATATATATATATTAGAGGAATCTAAATGGAATAATAATAAAAAAAACGAAAGAATATTAATCTACAACCCAGTGTGTCTAAAGATTTTAATTTTTTAATTTTTTTATTGTTCAATATATATATATATATATATATATATATATATATATATGGACTTTCTCCAACGAAAGTATTCGTGTCTTTGACACGATAACTCTAGAACTTGGTGTTGTGGATTACTTTAAGTGGCAGACTAGCGACTTAAGAAAGGGAAATTTATGTTAAGGGCGATGAATATTTTTTGTTTCTTTTCTTTTATAGGGATTAACCCGATCAGCCTGGTCGCTCTCTTAAAAAGTCAACGTTTTTAATATGCAGCCATGTTCAATTTGTGTATTTCAACGTGGATTTTAAAAGTACATGATTAACCGTTAGTGAAGATAGAAATATCTTTTCTTTTTTCTCTCCACAAAAGATAGCATACACCAAGATGTCCGCCAGAAAAAAAAACACACTTTTCTTTTTTTCTTCGTCAAACCAGGCAAAATTTAATTTAGCCTCGGCAACATTATTTTCTCTCTGGTATCGCTGAACCTCAAGTCGTAAGACCCACAATTCCAAAATTTACTACGAAGCCTGTTTCAGAAAGTTTACGTGCGTTTTACACAATTTTCAGGTTAGCGTCATGAATTTTTAATTCTTTTTAATTTAAAAAAAAAATTGAGTTCAAATTTGGAAATATCAGGTTCTACATTTGGACGTGATATTAAAATTTTATCTCAAGCGCTTCTGTTAAATGACAATAGACTCAGGACTTAGTAGAGCATATATAACCTTATAGAAATGTATGCAGTGCCTAAGGACCCCGCTTAATTTTTGGAAATGATTTTATGGAAATTATTGCGATAAATTCTTGAATGTCGCTGAAAGATTATTTGAAAAAAAACTTTACGACGGACAATTTTTATCTGACCTAATTTTAAAGGTTATAATATATTGTTTAGCCTTATATATCCGATTAGTAGCAACGGATCCCGCCGAGAAGCTTATCCCGTTAATCCAAACGAAATTGGGAGAATCTTTCCGGGATTATGCGCATACAGATATCGAACCTTCTTATCTATATAAATATAAACACACGCACGCACATACACACACATGTATATATATATATATATATATATATGCATATATACATATATATATTTATATCCTTTTTTTGGTGGTTTGGTAAGCGACTCCCTCAGCAACCTCGCTCGCCATTTTTCGTTCTTGTCCGTAAAAGTTGCGTCATGACTTTTCCCCCCCAAAATTAGCGGGTCTTTTTGAATTTTGCAAATTCCTTTGTTTCTTTTGAACTCATTTTTTTTTTGTCTGCAAATCTCTTCACATTTTCTTCATATCTGTAGTCCACATTCTTGGCTTCGGTCCTGAAAAAGAAAAAAAAAATGAAATTAATTATCTGCATATCAACAACGCTATGGGTTATTTAATGCCGAAATCTAAATATATTGTACGCAATTTCATTTCATTTTTTGAATACAATAACCCTTTTAGTGATAATTGTCTTACTAATTAACCCATAGCTGGAGGGGGTGAGAAAGAAGAGGTGGGGTCATATCTTTCCCGAAGATATTTGCGTGAAAGTAACTATGACGAACACGATTGGAATTCGAACTCGTTTCGCTGATTAACAAATCCGAGCCAGCCGCACTACCTGGTATTCCCAAGCGGTCACCAATCTAGGTACTGACCTGACTCGACGTTGCTTAACTCTAGTGATTGAATGAGTCAATGTGATATGGCCGTAAGACATACCATACGCAAATTCCATGCTTAGTGATTTACTAACACCTGATGAGATGCGTACACATCGAAACATGATTGCATCTATGTAGCGTTTATTAACATGTTGATGTAATATCCTAAAATAAAGAATTGCAACCCTGACAGTTAGGTTGTCAAGTAAACATCATGCCAACTGTTCTAATGGGCCTCGGTGACGAAGAGATTGCAAATCAGACTCAATATAGCGTCGCTCGCTCACATATTCCATGGTGGAACTCTTACTGAGTTCTCTGTAACCATAGGACTGTGCCCCCAGTAGCCACGACTACTCTCACCAAGCCGCTCAAGCTAGAGCATTAGAAGCCGGTTCAAGCGATGATATACACAGATAGAAATGATTAGGAGGATTTGATAATTATATTTAATTAATTCATCGAGTCTGAAAGAAACATCAAAAGAGTCCCAAATATAGGACGAAACGGCCGTCCAGTGCTTTCTGCATTCTGTTGAGGTTTCTTTCAGACTCGATGAATTAATTAAATATAATATCAAATCCTCTAATATATATATATATATATATATATATATATATATATATATAATTCTAAGGTTTGAATAAGCAACTCTAAATAGAGTCTGCCCCAAATAGCCTTCTTGAATAAAAGTGCTCTATGCCATAAAAATGACAGAGCATTTGATTATTAATTCCAGGTAAGCAATGATTACTTCATTGTTTCATGTGTTTTCACACAATTTTCGGGTAGCCAGTAATATTTACCGACGTCCCCACGAGGTAGGATGTGGCACGAGGCCGAATTTAATGTGGGGGCAATCCGAGCCCGTAGGCTCAGCCAAAAATTCCCCGTAGACCCCGCGTAAACGTTGTCGGGTCCGTCTACCTCTCCGGACGAGACTCTGCTCTACGGCGTAGCCTCGTCCGGGTTCCTCTCTGCCCGAAACCAGAGAGTTCGACAACAGCTAAGAGCTTAGTACGTGGCTCCCTCCAGCTACCTACGTACCTGAATCTTCAGGTAGCCAGTTACTTGCAGTAATAAGATGATTACTTTATATACCACCGGACGAGTACAATTTGACAAGCAAACCCAACTCGCACAGTTGGGAAGGTAAATCGTCCAGTCAAGATCTAAAATGGCACCCCCCCGCAAAAAAAAAACAAACAAAAAAAACCCCAAAATAAATAAAATAAAAAAGGTATATAAGGTAATCATCTTATTACTGCAAGTTAGTGGGTACCTGAAGATTGATATTCTTAGAAGCTGAATTCCATTGGAAGAATGGCCTTTGTGAGATTTGAGCAAAATGATCCTATCTGGATGAAAGAAAGGATTCCTTGTTTAAGGTTTCCTTAAATGGAAGGTGAAAGGAGATAAATAGAACAGAAGCCAAAATAAGAAAGGCAAAGATGAGCATTGAAAGTATCAGTGTTATTAAGGATTTTTCTTTCTGTCTAAATGTCTCTCTCGCTCTCTCTCTCTCCCTCTTCATGTCTCTCTCCCTCCCTCTTCATGTCACTCTCTCTCCCTCTTCATGTCTCTCTCTCTCCCTCTTCATGTCTCTCTCTCCTCCCCTCCCATGTCTCTCTCTCTCCCTCCCCTCTTCTCTCTCCCCTCCCTCTTCATGTCTCTCCCCTCCCTCTTCATGTCTCTCTCCCCCCCCCTCTTCATGTCTCTCTCCCCCCCTCTTCATGTCTCTCTCCCTCCCTCCCCTTCATGTCTCTCTCCCTCCTCCCTCCTCTTCATGTCTCTCTCTCTCCCCCTCTTCATGTCTCTCTCTCTCCTCCCCTCTTCATGTCTCTCTCTCTCCCTCCCTCTTCATGTCTCTCTCTCTCCCTCCCTCTTCATGTCTCTCTCTCTCCCCTCCCTCTTCATGTCTCTCTCCCTCCCTCTTCATGTCTCTCTAACTCCTCCCTCTTCATGTCTCTCTCTCCCCCTCCCTCTTCATGTCTCTCTCCCCCCCTCTTCATGTCTCTCTAACTCCCTCTTAATGTCTCTCTCCCCTCCCTCTTCATGTCTCTCTAACTCCTCCCTCTTCATGTCTCTCTCTCCCCCCTCCCCTCATGTCTCTCTCCCCCCTCCCTCTTCATGTCTCTCTCCCTCCCTCTTCATTTCTCTCCCTCCCTCTTCATGTCTCTCTCCTCCCTCTTCATGTCTCTCTCTCCCTCCCCCCTCTTAATGTCTCCCTCCCTCCCTCTTCATGTCTCTCTCTCTCCCTCCCTCTTCATGTCTCTCTCTCTCTCTCTCTCCTCATGTCTCTTTCTCTCTCCCTCATCATGTCTCCCACAGTTGGGAAGGTAAATCGTCCAGTCAAGATCTAAAATGGCACCCCTCCCTCTCCCCCCCAAAAGAAAAAAAAAAACAAAATAAATAAAATAAAAAAGGTATATAAGGTAATCATCTTATTACTGCAAGTTAGTGGGTACCTGAAGATTGATATATATATATATATATATATATATATATATATATATATATCAAATTTGTGGTGCAGTTCAATTCAATGTACTGTTGAAAGTACTAGCGTATTAAAGAAAGACCTTATACAGCTTTTAATTTTAAAAAAAAAGGATCACAACATTCATCGAGTGATTAGTTGGTTAATCCATCTTTAAAATTTTGTTAGCGAAGGGATTTCCCCATTTTATATCATTAACTTTACTAATCTACTTTTTTTATGAATGACTCATTGTAATATATATATATATATATATATATATATATATATATATATATATGTGTGTGTGTGTGTGTGTGTGTGTGTCTAATTTCTATATATATTATTTATATATTTTATATGCGCGGTACTTATTAGAAACCGCTCAGTATCGGTGAGTTTCTGACTCCGGGTTTCACGCCCTTTCACGATCATTAGACAAAACTCAAGGTCACAAACTCACATCAATACAACTAAGTATATATATATATATATATATATATATATATATATATATATATATATATATATAATTATTTATTTAAAAATACGCTACAAAAAAATTTCGCTTGAAGATGGAACAGAGCTTCAAATAATTATATATTGAAGTTTTCGGCTCTTGTTTTGAAACATGAGAACTCTTATTTAGCGTGTTGGAATCATATTTTTAAGTAAATAATTATATTTATGCTCTACTTTTGTATCGAGCACTATTTTTTAAAAATAATAACAAAAATACTAAAGAACTTTGGATTATTTACCTAACGAGTTCTTTCCTATTTTCTATATATTTTTCACACACACACACACACACACATATATATATATATATCAATACAACTAAGTATATATATATATATATATATATATATATATATATATATATATATATATATATATATATACACGTTTATATATAAATAACAAAGCTTTAGGAAATCATTTAGCCCAAATCGCCTGAGGATACCGAAAAGTTGAAACCAAAGTAGCGTGATTGGCTGATCTTCTAATGTTTCAAATTTAAAAACTCTACAATGTTAAATTTTCATTTTCTTTATACGTGTATTTTTCATGTGACCGTTTCCTAGTCTAATTCAATTCTGACCAATAACTGTTTTATAATTATATAATGTATATGTTGAGGCCCGTTAGTTGATATGACCTCTCAGTTTATATTTAACGCAAACACCACAAAATATGAAACAATAAGAATAAACACAAAACGGTTTTATAACAACAAGACTAATATTTATATTTGCATAATGATGTACAAGCATAAGTGTTACTTCCCTTTGACTGGATTAAAGTTTTTACTAATGAGATATTTGTCTTTATCTGAGCTCATAAAAAAGTTGAATGAACCTGTGAGAGAGTTGAATGAATTCTGTAAAACTGAAAATATAGCTTCAGAAAAGTTGAAGGAATGAATGTTCCGTAATAAATAATTAGTTTCCGTTGCTTGAAGTTGAATAGTCGTAATGTTAGTTTGTAATGTTCGTAATGAAGTTTGAAAAGTTTTGTACGTACATATATGTGTGCGTGTGTGAATATGTTTTCATAGCGTCCGCCCGCAAAGAGTCAAGACGCGATTTCTTTTATTGCTACATTTTAGTAAGCGAAGGGAAATCAAGAGAGAGAAAGAACGAACTCGTGTCTGGAATTTATAATCAACTTAATCACGTGACAGACTCGAAAGGCATTGACAGATTTCGGGTGGAATTATTTTTTAATCAAGTCAAGAACTAGGTCGATGTTATTCGGACGTAGTTGAGAACATTATTTAAATATTAACTGACCAATCAGAGGTTTTGAGTTTTTCTGAAAATATGTATGAAGCTGGATAAGTTCTGTGATCCGCTTTTTGCACAGATTTGAACAAAAATTGAGACTGGTAAAAAAGTGGTATCGGGATGCTATATATATATATATATATATATATATATATATATATATATATATATGACAAACATATATAATGGTTTTTAAATATATTAAAAGTAAAGAAACAAAAACACAAGAAAGTAAGACAAATTATGAAATAATAAATAAACAAACACAATATCTGTCTATATTTCTGAGATGAGGTATTAATATTTACATTATTCGGACTATTGTACACATCTTTGTCGCCATGTTTATCACAACGCTCCGGTCTTCTTCAGCTGGCTGGAATGTCGAACTGAACCCTTTATTTCGCTCACTGGGGTAGACTGTTCTAGTTCCGCGTGCCATGTCTAATGGATGTCAGTTATCTCCTGTTATTAGGTTGGTGCAAAAATAATGACGTAATAATGTCGTTTTTTGACGTATTTTTTAACGTCAAAAAACGACATCATTACGCCATTATTTTTGCACCAATCTAATAATTCCCCTCTGAACGTTCTCCACTGCCTTAACCAGGTATTGGACTCACACTCGTTGGGTCCTGTTACTGGATCTAACCAACGCTTTTATCCGCTGTGCCATGTGTCCTTGAGGACATCTCTGCATGAATTTCTGGGTATTATAAACCTAATGTCTTCAGCAACCATTTTTTACAGTGCTCATATTGCAATTTTTGCTGTTATCATTACATGTTTTTACCAGAGCACATATTGCAATTTTTGATGTTATTATCACTTTTCTCTGGCACTCCTTATTACTGGTTCCCATATTGTATTCATTTCTATGCTTGGTCGGCTCAGGATATTTTTGTGGCCGAGCATATGTGCTTCTTTCTTAAGTTTACGAATTTTCCAATGATGTTCTTTGTCTATGATCTCAATTTGATCCCTCAGAGGGTGGTGATATCCCTTTTCTCTCCATATGTGGTCAGCAAAGTTAAAAAATCAAAATATAAATCTGTATATTCGGAGATTATCTAGTTATTATGTAGCATACAATAAAATAAGTCATACTGCCTTTTTGGCAGTACTAACAAAGTAATACAGACAAATCTCTCATCTACTTACTCACCCCCCATCAACGAACTTCAGATGCAACGAGCAAAATCTGCAGGCAAAATGAAAAAAAAAAAAGACTCCAAATCGTCAGCGATGTATTTCAAAATTTGCAGGCTTAGTGGAACGTGTCGTATTAGTTCCCAAAGTGACCGCTTGGCGACGATACTGGGCCTTTCAATTATAATCAAAGACGGAAAGTACGATACATTAGTGCGTGCGTGAGAAAGTAGCTTTGAGAAATCTATTATTTTTTGTTATTTTGATTAATATGTCTATATTAAGTATAGATATTTAACCTAGCCTCACCACTGAGACGAGTGTGACACAAAGTCGGGTTTAACGTGGGTACACTCGCGCCAAGAACAAAAATTCCCCGAGCACCTACAATGGTCGGTATATTTATTTATGCCATATATACATGTTTATAGTATTTACATTATGATCATAACTACTGGCAGTTACTATAGCGGTTTTATAACTAAAAAATAATCCCTTCCCATTTACGGACAATCGGCTTTAACGGACCACCCCTTCCCCTATTAGTCCGTTGATGAGAGGTTTGTCTATAGAGAAAAACACGCTAACTGTGGAGAAAATAGGAAGAAATGATAATAAACAATGTATACATAACTTTTTTTATCATTTAATAGTTTAGGTGTTAGTACTACACACACACACACACACACACACACAAAGAGAGAGAGAGAGAGAGATAGAGAGAGAGAGAGAGAGAGAGAGAGAGACTGGGAAACACACACACACACACGTATATTTTTTTTTAGTGAAATTGGAGTCGATTTGAATAGCGAAATTAAATCAGAGCATTTTTTGTTTACTGATGTAGAAATCTGATCTCGGGCAGAAGTTGTACCCATTGAATCTGGGTCATCAGGAGACAATGGAAATGGTCGAAATAATTTTATCGATTAAAAATTGAAATAGAGCTGAGTAAGCTAGAAGGAACTTTGGAATTCACATGATTTTGGTTGAAGCAGCCAGACCCCCCCCCGTGATAATCGCGTGCGATGTAGTAGGGCAGAGGGTCAGTTATAATCAACCGGGTTTATCTATATAAACGCGTAGGTATGCTGCAAAAGACAGACGGGATAAAAATTCTTGAAGAGAGAAGAGAGAATTGGCCCGAGCGAGAGTTGAGAGAAGGAACGCCACTATAACCTTAAGCCCCGAACTGAAATCTTTATCCCTCCATCACAAGGATCATATATCTTTTTGAGACAATTTAACAACAAGATAATCACATACACTCTCTCTGTGTCTAGAATCCAGGGTATGAGTATTTTTTTTAAATTTTCTTTTCTGTAACCCGTTTTTCTTCTCAACTATTCATTTCTGCTATATAAAAGACATTACCATTCCAACCATTGAATCGATGTTTGTCCGGCTTTCTGCAGATATTAAATTTTTTTTTGCTGCATTCTAAATTTCTTAGCGCAGACTTCCCAGCCGTGTCTACATCTTTAGTCGACCGTGAATGGACGGACATCACTTCTGCTTTCTGGATCAAACAAATCACAACGTGGGCAGGAAGCAGGATTAAACCAGCAGACCGGTCGAATAATCTACGGATGCTCAGGGGACCTATGGCCACTCCCTTAAGTTCGGTTAGGACCGAGTAGACACCGAGAGTAAGACGCCGGGGGTTGAGGGGCCGGAGCGAAAGTGTTAGAAAATAGTACTATCAAAAGAACAGCCCTTGCAAGACCATCATGCAAGGCGCCGTTGAAGATGAACGTAGAAGAGGAGGCCAACCCCCAAACTGATTGGATAATGTCAGGGAGTGCACCACAAGGAAAGATTCAGTCAAACTGAAATCAACCGTAAAAGATATTCGGATAGATCTGAAGAACACGAAATCAGATGTACACGTCTCATTAACTTTTAGAATATTGAACCAAAG